GCACTGGGGACAAGTGCCCTGCCAGGGCTGCCAGGTGCCAAATCCATCCTGAGCAAGCTGGGAGAAAGAGCTGAAAGGTGCCTCTCTGTTCGGAGGGGAGGGAGCTGGAGCCCAGGGCATAGCTTCCTACCTGCCACAATAGCAGTGCGAGCAACATCTGCCCCAGGAAAAACACATCTGGCTCTCAGGAATGGCCCTCGAACTGTTGAGCATCCCCTTCCCCAGGTGGGCAATGCCAAAGCCTCCTGCCAGGGCCAGACTCATGGCCCATTCTGGCAGCTCCGGACTCTGCTTTGTTTCAGCTTTTTCGTCCGACAGGCAAACCACCTAAATTAACATTGAGACTTTAGGAACAATATAGTTAATTCCCGTGAAATATCGCAGCAAGGTGATTTGCTCCAAGTGCTCCCCCCATTAGCAGCTGGTTAGTGAATAAATAATTTCCAGAGGAGAACTGTACGAACTGAATCTTGTCGGCACTGAAAGGACTAACAGGACCGGGCAGCAATTTATTTGCAATTAGTAATTAAAGCCACGGAGGCTCATGATGGTCAGAGATGGAGCTACTAAAATCCTGGCTGAAATACTCACAAGTGAGGTGCTAGGGAACGCGTCCCTCCATCGCTCTGCAAAGCTTTTGAGGAAAAGCTCACGAAACAATGCAGAAACCTAATAAAAAACTGCATTAAAAGAAAAACTGGCAGTCACCAACCCGCATCCCAGGCTTACTGCTCTTTTTTTTTTTTTTTTTTTTTTTTTTTTTTTTTTTCTCTTTCTCCGTTCCCTCGGGGCAGATTTCACGCTACCCGTGACTCTGCTGAAGGCAGAGGGGCGTTTCGGGCTCCCACTCGCTCTGCTGCAGCCAGGCGTTCCTTAGCAAAGGCAAAATAATAGGTTGGCTTTTTTTGTTGTTGTTGTTTTGCGAAGCCAGGAACTCCATCTTAGCGCTTAAGCCCGTTGTTATGGTTTGTGTTATTCTTGGCACGCTGACCGAAGTGCGCTCGGTATGAATAGCAGAGAGCTGAAAAGTAAATACTGTTTCCTCTGGGAGCAGCAGAGAGGGGAGGGGGTTATATTGCTTAATGGAGCACCCCCAGCGCCTGTTTGGGTTAGGCTTACAGTAATTGCTCCCTAGGTGAGTTTATACCAACAATTGATCGTTTCAAATGGGAAAGAAGTACAAATGAGTAAGAGAATAAACACTGACAGTGTTACGAAACGCGGGAGAGGAGAGCAGAAATCCCATGCAGCTCAAGCACGGGGCTGAAAGCAAGGCTGGCCGGAAAACAGGGGATACTGTTTGCTTGCTCTATGTGCAATTTCTCATGAATGCTCAATGATACAAGGAAAGAAAATTAATTTTCTCCTTCAGCTTAAGCTACAGAACGACTTTCCACAGCCTGATCTTCTACAAAGAGTTCAGGAAGACCCCTCTGCGCTCCCATCTCCTTCTCCATCCTGGAAAAACACGGGGCTCTCAGCACAAGTAGCACTTTGCTGTCAGTCTGTGGGTGAGAAGACAAGGAGCAGGCAGCCCACAGGTGAGATGGAGGAGCTGAGTAACCTTGGTGTAAACTCCACCGTCCTCTTTCACGGGCCCTGGCCGGGAGCACTACGGCCCTCCCTTGGGGGGCAATGCCCATGGCCCACAAAGCACAGCCCCAACCCTGAAGTCAGCCCATGCTGGCGGGGCTGGTCCCCTGCTCCCTGCAGCTGTGTCCCCCCATCACTGTGTGTCACAGCAGCGTTTTCCCATGTCCCATTTGCCCAGGGCTGCCTTTCGCCCACCACATCTCCAGAGGGGCCCCAACCAATGTGCAACCAGGCTCCGGAGTCCGCAGATCCCCTTTGCTACACAGAGGACCAGTGCTGGCCCGAGGACACGACACCAGCCCCTGGGGAGCTGCCCATCAGCCCTGCTGCAGGATCATCGCTGCAAACCTCCAGTGTCCAGCAGCAAACCTGTGCTGCTTAATGCTGTCTGAGCATCTTTTACCATGCTTGTGCTAGCAGTTGCTAGTGCTGGATGCGATGGCCAGTGTCACGGGGACCAGGAGGGGAAGTTCAGGTTTGGCCTTGCGTGCCCGGAGCAGCATCTGCCCGAGGTGGGGCTGTGCAGCAGGAGAGTGTTGGAAGGTGAACAGGGATGGGGATGGAAAGTCCCCATTCTTCCAGGAATTATCACCGAAGGAAGGGCACGGGATGGCCCGGCAGCCACCAGCAGGCTGAGCACTGAGCACAGGAACTGGCTGTGGGATGCCCGCAGGGGTGCTCCAAAGTGCAGCCAGCAGCAGCACCCTTTGAAAAGGCTGAGCCAGCAGCCCCACACCGGCTGGCCCCAGGCTCCCACAGTATCTTCTGCAGCTGAGCTCATTAGTGCCTGCAATCAGCAGGGCATGAAGGGGAGATAATTACACAGGGGGCACAGCCCCGGCTGCGTGCAGGGTCTATACATAGTGCTGTGTGGGTCTGCGCTGCCTGCGATGGTTAGTCACAGCCCCGGGGACAGTGTGGGTTGGGGGTGCAGGCACCGCTCCGTGGGGAGCTGCACCGCTGGGCCATCTGTGGTGCCTGGGGAAAACCACTCCGAGCTGAATTGTTTCACTTACTACAGTTTTCCCAGCCGAAAAAACGCAGTGAGTTTCCCTATGGACTGCCTTTTCACACAGAAAAAAATGGAAACATTTTTTTTGCAAGATACCTAAGAAAAGGTTTCAACCTAGGGGCCGGGGTGGCCACATGAAGGCGTATCCCCCCTCGCAGCCCCTGGGACCCCTCAGATAGGGAAAGGCACTCCCAGCCCTACAGAGAGCATCCCTTGGCCACAGGTGGAGGGTGCCCAGCACCTGGCCCAGCTCTGGGTGCCTCCAGCCCCACACAGCCCTGCCTCCTGAGGCCAGCAGCCTCGGTGTCACCCCGTGGCAGTGCCAACCCAAACTGATCACATTGCTTTGGGCCAGCCCTGACACTCAAGAGCCACCCAGAGCTGCTCAGCCCTGGGGAAAAGCCATGTTTGCTCATCACCTGTCACTCCCCAGGCCTGTATTTCCAGCACAGCTATTTCCAAACCGATGGCAAGGTCCTGACCTGGCATGCAAGGCCCTGTGTGTCACCAGTGCCACTGCATGCCCTAGCTGGCGAGCACAGGGCTGAGTCCCCACAGCAGCATCTGGGCATGGCAGGGGCTGTGTACATGGGGCAGCCCCAGCAACTGTTCGGGGCAACCACTGGGGCCTCAGGACACACCAGGGTGGTGATGAAGCGCCAATGCCAACCACAGGACTGTGACACTGCACTGGGAAGCCCTGCCCTCTCTCCATTTCACCCAGCAATCCTGGGAAAGCAGTATGGGTGGCTTTTGGGGCTGCTCCCGGCCATGCCTTGCGGGGACATCTCCACTCAGCTCACACCTAGATCAGAGTGGGCACCAACTGAGCAAAGAGCACGGCATGTTCTCCGGGCATGGCAGCAACCCTGGCTGGCTGAGCCACTGCAAACTCTCCTCGTCCCTCAGGGTGCATCATCAGGGTGCATTGCCTGCCCTGACTCCTGCCCTGCTGCAGCCTCCCTGGCTGCTTGCCTTGCCTTGCCCAGCGAGGCTTTATCACCTTGTTTTTTTGGTGAAAACGTGAATCTAATACAGGAGGCTATTGCTTCTTTCACTAGCCTTTAGTCACCTCTTTGCAGTTCTTTCCCTGCAGATGTCAAAATACTTAAAGCCGAGCTTGTGTGCTATTTGGAAATGGATCGGTTTAGCAAAT